ACCCACGACCCCAACCCATGGGGCGTGGTTCCATCCACGGCCAATAGATGGCAATCGTGGGTGGCTGCAAATAGACAACTTTTGGGCTGTTTTAAGGGTCCTCCTCAAGGACTCCTTGGGTGGTCCTTGGGGGGTCGTACCGCGACGCCCTAACCCTAAAACCCTCATTCCAAGTATGGGAATCCTTTTTACGATTTTTAACCCTCAATTCTAACTCAAAAACTCTTACGAAAAGCTCTAGAACTCTCTAGTTCAACTTACTAGTTCCCGGGGAGTAATAATATCTCTCCCTTGGGATCATTCATCCTCGAATGGTGATTCTAAAGACTTCTTAAATTCACAAATCTAAACTAGCAGCCCATCATGCATGCATTACATCTACATGCATGCGTTACATCTACATGCACACAACCAAGGAAGAAAAACTTTGATTCCAAACTAAACATATTCAATGCAACACAAGGGAGTAGGAACTACTTCTACCAACCCAAAATGCATGAAATTCTATATTTACTCATTTTCAAGGAGAAACTAACATCTCATAACTAAAATATTCTCAACACTCACTCATGGAGCCTAAATGCAATTTATTCTCAAAAAGCATTTATTCACGGAGGAATCTTTCAACTCCAAACCAAGGCATGCTCATATATTCATCTCATGAAGTCTATATGCAACTCTACTCAATGCACTACAACATGAGGAAAACAATGTATATAAGTCATTTCTAACAAGACCTAAGCATTTTCATGAACATGCACCACATAAGAAGATCATGGAAGCATAATTCACACATGACTTCATATAAAAGCAAATAAAGAGTAACTTATCATCTCAAGCTAGAATAGGAGTAGAAGGAAAAGGATGAGGACATCGGGACTTCTCATTGGCCCTTGGCCTCCCAAGTAGCAGTCTTAACCAAATTCCTTACTAAAGAACACTCCTTCCCACTTTATGGAACAACTTCCTTGTTCTTCTATTTCTTAACTTGTCGGCCTAAGACCTCTACCGGTACTTCTAAATTAGAGAGGTTCTTATTAGCAACTCTATCTCACAAGAAACCCTACTAACACCACTCAAGATCTCATATGAGCCTACCAAACTGGGACTAAACTTCTCATACTTACTACACCTCTCAAGGTGAGAATTTCAAGAAAACTGAACTCATGCACATCAAGAACACTCAATGACCTTGCTATCTAAGCACATTATCTACCCCTTGGGAGCAACCCTATACAAACTCTTTTAAGCATCACCTCGTTCAATTCTAAGGCCGTAGCAAGTCACCACTTAAGCTTTTACATCCTTCACCCAAGGTGATTCTAAACCATGATGAACTACACTTCCACCCTTCTTAGAGGAGTCTACTCACTCAACATATCTAGGCATTACTATAACACCCTATTCATCAAATCTATCAACATACCTCAAAACTCATCATGACTAAGTCTCGTTCTATCATCTACTAAACATAACCATAATGCAACCCATTCATAATAAAGAAAACATCACAATCTATCATCTCAAATCTATCAAGTCACATAGACATAATTGGCATCACAACCAACCTTTTCTCCCTCGCTCCTTGTAGCATAAGCCCTTCGAGTAGTCATATCCTAAAAACCATCGAATAAGGAATAGGAGAGAGACCTTATAGAGTTAAACTCTATGGAAAGATTTAGAGAATGAAGAAGTGAAATTTACTAAGCATCCAATAGCCTCCTATTCATAAATGTGGCGCGCTTCACATTTATGAACAAGACTCTACTAGACGTGGTTTGACACAATCCTAGAACCATTCGAAACATTGTGCTCTGATTACCAAGTTTGTCATGACCCAAGGGTATACCCTAGAAGAAACACAGCGTACTTGACCACGAAGGGGGTCTCATACAAGCCTTTAGCATATCATGAACATAAGATAATAGAAAATACGGAAAATTTAAAACTATTTACAATCAAAGTCATTTTCATAAAAGCAGGCGGAAGTCTTTCTATACTTTGTCTCAAACCATCTAATACAACTTTAGAATAAACTCTTGGGACACAGCCCATACAATAGTCTCCACATGAGAATAAAAGACATAAGGGAATGGTGAGTTTTGTCTTCGAAGCAATGAGGACTCACCAAAATCTTCAACTCATTTGCTCCTTAGAAACCCATCTCCAAGAACAGTACTCAAGTCTCCAAACCCTACATTTGATTAGAATGTAGGCAAAGTATGCATTAGTACAAAATGTACTAAATATGTTAGCTAGCATAATCATAAGAGCATAAGACAGGGGGTTAGTCAATATAAGACATAATCCAAAATCATATGATATACTTCATGAAACATAAACTATAAGCATAAGAGACAATATCATAATAATAAGCAAAGTCTCCAACATAAGGATCATAAAAGCATTATTTGACTCTTAGTCATCTATACCATAATAGGACTACTTTCAAGTAACCTTAAGGCATACTTTGTGCAATGCATGAACAGCATCCCATAATACCATCCAAGCTAAGCACCCTTTTTTGTTCATCTTAATCATAGCCTTTATACATGGTCAAGTCTTAAGCTTTTCTACCATAAGGGAACCATACTCCTAAGTAACCTCAAAGCACATTTGTGCAATGTATGAAAGACATCCCATAATACCCCCACACTAAGCATAACCTTGAAGTCATCCTAGTCATATTTACCCTCCTTTGGTCTCATTATTAGCTTACTTCATGTGGACAAGGGAACTATCAACTTTAGTCAATTCTATCATGGAAGGCAACTATAGCAACAATCCATGAAGCATAACTCATGTAAGACAACACTCATAAGGCAACCTTAAGTCATACTTGTGCAATGCATGAGTGGCATCACATACTATCACGCATACTAAGTACGTCTTTAGGTCATCATACTCATGTTCCTTAATTAGAGAGTAGCCCCTTTTGAAAGCATAGGAACACTAGGAGACCTTTTAGTAGGTCTATTTTAGTTCCTCGTTATTTTGAACCCTAAGAGATACTATACTAGGTACATCTTAGTTCATCAAGTTGGAACTCTAGGAGATGCTACATTAAGCATAATCTTAGTTCACTTTTAGGTCCTTATTCTATTGTTTGTTGGGTTGGAACCTAGTTTCTTTCTTTAGACCTTAGAACACTATGCGGTACTACCTTAAGCACATCTAAGTTTATTATTAGGTTGAACCCTATGAGATACTTCTTTCATCATGTCTAAGTTCATTATTAGCATGGATCGTAAGAGATACTTACTTAAGCATGTCTAAATCCATTTATAGTTTGAACACTATGAGATACTCCTTTAAGTATGTCTTAGTTCATTATTAACATGGACCCTATGAGATACTTCCTTAAGCATGTCTAACTCCATTATACTCTTGAACACTATGATGTTCTTCACTAAGCATATCTTAGTTCCTTATTATTTCGAACCCTAGGATATACTATATAAAGTAAATCTTAGTTCATCAAGCTTGAACTCTAGGAAATGCTACTTAAAGCATAATGTTAGTTCACTAAGGTTGAACTCTAGGAGATGCTTCCACAAGCATAATCTTAGTTCATTAAGTTTGATTTCTAGGAGATGTTCCTTTAAGCACAATCTTAGACAATTACTTGTATTGGACTCTAGGAGATGCTACATTATGCATAATCTTAGCCCACTACAACATTTTAGGCCTACGGCCACACTAATTCTGGACAACACTTTTAAAGTGTTGCCTAAACTACTTTTGGGGACGCTTTTAAAGCGTAGCCCAAGTTTTTAACTTTTATCTTAGATATTATTGGCAACACTTGTAAAGTGTACTGTTTAATGGTATAAGCTACACTTTATAAGCGTTGTTACAGTATGATATAATTGGCAATAACTATTTACATATATTGCCACACTTTTAAAGTGTCCTATTTTATAATTGTAAAAACAACACATTACAAATGTAGCCTTAAAATTTTCACTAAAATATTATATTCCCTCCAACATTTTTAACTCTCCCTCCCATTTTAATTGGGCAAAAAACAATATTCATAAAACATTAAAAATTTCCTTTCCTCCAAATCAGAAAAAAGTCGGTCAAAGTGAAGAACTGTAGAACACGCTGAAGAGCTCTAGTTCTCGCTGATGGTCTCTAGTTGTCGCTGAAGATTTCTGTCCTAGTTCTCGCTGAAGATTTCCGTCAGGTAATTTAGAAAAATATTCTGTCAATTTGAAGCACACTATTATCTCACCAAGCTAAGTCTGAACATACTTTGTTTATGTTTGAGAAGATTTGTATTGTTTTGGTGAGTCATTCTTCTCTGATCTGGTGTATTTTTTTGGAAATTTTATAGTGAGTATATGTATTGAGATTTGGGAATAAAACGTGCTTTATGTTTCTAGAATTGCAAAGCCCTGATCTGAATGATTGGTTTGCACAATGTGAGTATCTCTATGTGGTGTTTTGGTGGATTACTTTGGGAATTTCAGATGTAGTTTGTAGTAGATCTGATGGGTATTTAGTTTCTTGATATGTTAGATCTTCCATATTTTACTTTCTGATTGTACTTTTAGACTCAATTGACTTCCTTTTTAAGGTAATATGTGTTTGCAACTGTTGGATACAATGTCGAAGCTAAGAATTTTGCTTAAGGGTGTTCAAAACTTCAGGATATATATCTAAAAAGTTATTTTT